TCTAATTACTTTATTCGTAATGAGTAGTTGATCGAGAATATCAGAAGATATTTAATAAGAACTGTAGTCACCCTAGGTTGAAAATAAGTGAATTTTTACTCAATTACTTGAGTAGACATCACAATGCGGATTGAATTTCACTTTTTCTTGCCTCTCAGAATGCATTATCACCCAGGATAGACTACACTTACAACCTGAACGGGATTCGAACCCAGGAAGTGCAGTTAATAATTTTCACATGTTACCGGTACATCGAATTCCAACGGATGCCAGTGGATCGCAGATCACAGGTTACTTTGAAGGCAAGAAAGACTGTTTTTTTCGTTCTTAACAAAGCTTTTGAAACTAACGGTAGATCTTAAATAAGAAATATATTGCCCCGTCTTAGTTTCGTCTGTTACGTCATGAGACACATCGTGAGAGTGAAAAAGCATTTTTTTTACTAAAAAGGACACCAGATAGACATCATGTCGGTTTACCCGTCAACTAATTTTTCCTTGACAATCAAGAGTCAAGTCACATTAAATAAGTGCATGTATACATCATTACCCATTGCCTCTTGTGCGCCCCTAATCTTCTCCAGGCCCAAACCAAAGTCGATTCGCCTAGCAGCCATGCTTGCGCAAAAACGAATGTTCGACGAGTCGGTCAGCAACAAGGCTTCAATATCCCAAGACAAGGTCTTTCTTCCGTTGCTGCCAACTGCATTCCCTCACCGATGCGCGTCAATGTTGGTCAGGCTGGCCTAAGCCTCACCTACTCCCCTTTCTCCAACTCCTCGTCGCCACCATCCTCTTCCCTATCCTCCTCCTTTTCAGCCTCTCCGCTAAGCGGGTCTTCCTCTTCGTCGGCCCCCATCACATCAACGCCCTCCTCCATTTCGGGCTCCTTCTCTTCTTCATCTTCCAGCTCACGCAACTCCCTATCAACTCGGCCCTCCAGTTCCCGCTCCAAAAACTCTTGCCCTCGAAGGTCCCGTCCAGGTTTACCTTTACACTCAACCTCCTTGTCAGCTTCGTGCCTTTCGTGTCCTTCACTGTCTTGTTCGGCCTATTCGTCCGTCACCAAACCGACGCGAGTTGCCAAGCTGGCGTCCGGCCAGACCCACGAAAGCCGGAGCCAGTGCGCGCATGGGAAAACTGCTCATGCACCCGTTGCCAGGGCCCATGCCAACGAGCAGAGGGTCTCCGGCTCAAAATGTGATAAGACCGTTTCAGTTGCCAATTCACGTCTGGCCATGACGACTCAAACTGAGGCGGTAACCAGCAATCGTTACATGAGCGGAGGAGGCGTGGGAACCTCGTCTGAGAGCATCTCTTCGGCGGGATTCTGTGAGGCGGTGGCATGCGTCCGACGTCCAGACGGCGGGGAGGACTGCCTCGGAGGCGGGATGAAGGCCAGCGAATCCGAGACTGAGACGTCCAGTGAGCCGGTCTCTGAGACCAGTCTGTCGTTGGTGAGTCTGATGGTGAACCGACATGTGGCGACGGGGATGCATCGCGCCTTTCTGGACACGGGCGGCCGAGGCGGGGCCTCCAATGGCGACGCAAACCGCATCCATTTTGCCGGCCAACAGGGCCAGGCTCCGGCCAGCATTTGTCGCGAGTGGATTCGTCAGATTATCACCAACGCTCCTGGACCAGCCACTGCCGTCTACCACCTTCTGCTAGCCAAAGTGAGCGCCATACCGTTCATGCAGTCGGAAAGTTTTTGCCCATTTTCGACATGATTCGGTCTAATTGTGCCCTCTGGGTCGCATTTGTTCGCTGCTCGTCAGCTCGTCAACTGTGACGACCGTTGGAGCATGCTTGAATTCAATGTTATCCAAGTTGAAATTTAGTTTGCGATACTTATGCGTAAAAACGGATATCCTCCGTGAATTATCGAGATGAATAAATGAAGGGACAGGTTATAAAATGGTTTTGTAGCATGGTAACGTTTTGGTGTATGAAATTAGCCACAAAGACCCATCTCGGTTAGGATAGAATGGAGCGTGTTTTGGGGGTCATTGGGCAGAATCAGACCTTGATACTGTCATAACTTTCATTTCGTTTGAGAAGGCAGATGAAAGAGATTCGTAGATTGGCTTCACCTGATACAGAGGGAGGGTTGCCATGGGCTTATAACTGCTGGACTGTGCGAAGAAGAGCTCGGCTCACCGTCCTGCGACTCCAATAAATCCGTGCTGAGCTTTCGTCCGCCATGTGACGGACAGTGTCAACGCCAGAAATCATCATCTACTAACAATCACCAAGAGACACTAAACCCATAAAATTGATCAGCTGAGATTTTGTTTACAAGGCTTGACAAGGCATTCCAGGACGGACGAAAGCTCAACACGGAGTTAACGGGGTCGCAGGACTGTGAACCGAAATCTTCTTCGCACAAGTGAACAGTCAAAGGGCCTAGGCAACACTCCTTCGGTATCAGGTGAGGACAATTTACAAAGCCCTCTCAAACGAAATGAAAGGTATGCCAGCTTCAATCTACCAAGGAATTGTTCGAAACCCAGCTTCTCTTCATATTTGCGAACTAGGCCTTGTCAAAATAGCAATTTTCTTGAAAATTCTCAATCACAATTCAATAGTATGATTATCTGATAGTATACTTACTAATTTATATCTATTATTCGCTCAGTTAATTATGTATAATTATTAGCAACATCTCTAAGATCCTTGGGCTGAGCAGGCCTTATGAGCGAGGCTAATAAATAGTCCATCCATTTCACTATACCGAAACAGTCCTCATACTTTATTTTTCGAATTAAGTATTGTTTTCGTGACTACCAGTAAATCAGTAATATGAGATGTATTCGCCCAATTTCGTTCAATGTGATGAAGGACTGGTAGAAAAAGAACTTTCCCACAATGATATGAGTTGAGCTGTTGTTTCCATTGAATTTCACATAGCCTTGCTTTCCCAAAAGTTTTTCTCATCCAATCAGAAGTGGACTGCAGTTTCGACCTCGCATCGGTCTTATCAACACCCTTAGCGGGAGTCAAACCGCGACTCAACTCATATCGTTGTGGGAAAATTCTTCTTCAACAAGTCCTTCATCACCTTAAACGAAATTGGGTGAATATATCTCATATTACTGATTTACTAATAGTCACGAAAACAATACTTAATTCGAAAAATAAAGTATAGTAGTC